TGCTGTGGAGGTGAGCCTGGCTGTAGCTGGAGGAGACAGTGATTGCCCCTTCCTGTTGGACTGTCTTGGGCCAGCTCCTGGTCTCTGCTTCACCCACACAGGAGCAGAGGGAGAGTGGCAGTAGGGCAGAGAATGTGGTAAGAAGTGGTGCTCACTTTTTACATTCTCTCAACATGGTTCTACACTGCTAGCTGTGACAGCATGACAGCCAGTGGACAGTCAGAAAATGATCATTTGCAGTGACTCATTTTGTGTATGACATTCCATCACACCATTGAACCCGAAGCCTGAGGCCAAGATCATTGCTATACTTTCTATGTATTCCTGTGAGAGTCTACTGGTTCCACTTCAAGTCTCTGCTTAAATTCCTGGCACTAAATGGACTTGTGTTTTGTTTAAAAAAAAAAAAAAAAAAAGGAAAATAATTTGAATTTGTATAGCAAAACATGGCACACTAAAACAACTGACAATGGAAATTTATACAAATTCATTCTGCATATTAGCTCAAGCTTTTTATTGGGGGGCTACTTGATGTTAAGCACCAAAATATACATGCTGATGGATCCCAAAGTAAACAATATGTGGTCTTTACTTTTAAAGAATTTAACTGCTATTTCCATTTGACAGCTACAAAAGACTAATGGGAAATAATATCTTTTTTTATGTTCCATTGACTTTTGAGAATTTGCCTTGTTTGCACTTAAATGAGAATGCTGGCCTCAGAATAATGATTAAATTTTAAATCATTCCTTATTACTACACTGTGTTTGTCACAGATAATCAATATTGAGGATCACCATTTATAGCAAAATCCAATCAGACAAACTTTAAAAAGTTGTAGATGTGAGAAAGAAAAGAGTTTAGATGAATATAATTAAAATATAGCCAGTAACAGCACTCCCAACTGTCCTTCAATCAAGAACTTTTTTTTACCTTTAATGATTTGGCCCCCTTTTTGTCACCTGCAAACATGGATTTCTCATCAAAGTGCATGGGGAAGGACCTGGGGAAATGACAGTATTATAATTACACATGAAAAATCTAGGTACCTTGAACTTAAGGATTTTCTATTCCTATAAATATTTAAGATTCATTATTTACTTACAGGACAGCAACACTTCTCATATAAACTATTTAATAAGAGTCTAAACTACAAATGGCTGTTTAATTTAGAAGATTATAAAGTTTGAAGGAAACTATGTTAAAATAATCTTAAAAATTAAAAGCAATTAATGTGGAAAACATGCACACTCGTAAAATTCTTTTAGAAGTTTACTCTCAGTACTTTTTGATCTAACTTTCTTTTATGCTCACAGTAACACTCACTAAACTTGAGTTTTTGAGACTAAGCATTTTTTAAAAAAAATTATATTCTGGAAAATAAGGCTAATGCTACCATATGTATCCATTTAATGCTAACATACTTTAGATACTACTTAAATAACAATTGGAGGAATACAAAATTGGTAGAAAGAACCTTAAAATTAAAAATTTGATTAAAATTTGATAGACTATAATGTCTTTATCATATTTTAAAATAGAACCTATTTTCAAGAGTGAAGGTATCTGCAGCAGAAGTTCATAGATTCTTTTTAGTTCACATATTTAGAAATAATTAACAGGTTGGAGATACAACTCAGTGACACAGCACCTGCCTCACAAGCAGGAGATCCTGAATTTCCTTTTTTTTGCGGAACTGGGTCTTGAACTCAGGCCCTTGTCCTTGCCAGGCAAGTACTTATTCCACTGAGCCATCTCCCCGGCCCCAGGAGGTCCTGAATTTGATTTCTGATACAAAAACCAAAAAGTCCCATTAGAAATAATTAAAATGCTATTGTTCCACTGCTGTTTGCCTTCTCAGAGCTACCTCAACCCTCTCCTAACTCCTAAGTGTCAGTTTTGGTTACATGTCAAGCATGAAATCATCTGAACAGTGCTGGGATATCTCAGACACTGACAGTCAATTCTTACTTTGTATCCTGAAAGATACTCAGGAGAAGGGTTTTAGTGTCAGCATCTTCATCTGTGTTTCCAGTGTAAAGATCAACAATGGAGCGTTCAAAATAGGGAGCCACCTTTGACAAAGCTCGCAGCTCAATCAAGTATAAAAAATACAGATTCTTAAGCCTTCTAGGACCTTCTCCCTTGGTTTCTACAGGGTCAAAGCGGCGTTTAAATTCTCTGATATTAGGTCCCCAACTTGGTTTACCCCAGGTTTCTAAAAAGAAAGAGAAATACATATTACATTCATTTAATAAAGAGAACTTTGCTCTAGCGAACATAAATCCCTCTGTCTATTCATTTTTACACTGAAAATGTCAAAATCTCCCCTTAAGATCTGATTACCTTCCAGAAGATAATCTGCACACAGATGTAAATTGATACTGGCATGAAGTCCTGAAATAAGCTTATAGAAGACTCTTTTCTCCAGACACAAACCTGTTCATAAAAGTATTGATAAAGAAATTATGCATGTTTAAAGAACAGAAATATTGAATCAAGGATATTCAGTACACAGGCTTATTTTCAAGTCAAGATTCAAGAACATTAAAAATATATCAAGAAATAATGAAAAACTAGATCAAGATTATTTCACTAGAAGACAAAGTAAGAACCTGCCTTCTAAATGGTGTTGCATGTGATAACTTAATGCAGAAAAGACAATGGTCTGGGCGCCTATAACTCTGAACCCTGTGGCACTGCTGGCAAGTTCCCATACTACCCAGAAGGTCACAACACAAGCTTTCCATGTGTTTCGCTAAGAATTTAGTAAAATAAATGTAACTATAAAGTTACTGCCTTGACCAACTGTAGCTGTTTCTGTCTCCCTATTTGCATGTCTTTCTTTGAACCTACTTGGTAGTGGATAAGAGGGATAGGGAGTCTTATTAACATTTTGCCCTCTAATTGTCTATTTCTAACTGTATGTTCTATTTATAAGGAGATAAAACTCTGAAAACAGATATCCAGGAATTTCAACTAATAAAAAATTATACTGACTATTTACTATGTAAGGAGAGCCATATGTGGAGTTTAGGAATAGGATGGAAATTATTTTGTGTAGCCTTAACCCCCACAGGCTAGATGTACAGTTGCAGTATTTTTGGTATTTTGACATTATTCAGTGGTTTTCAAAGAACTTTTACAGGGATCGTTGATGCTAATATTATAGGTTAGTAGGATTGTTTTTGTCACTGTCAAGCTCCAGATAAGGAAAACTGAAGCTCTGAAATGCTTGAGCCACCTGCCAATAAAAGGACCACCCTCTTGAACTACACATCAACATTCAGGAATGCCCAACAACAGAAAAACGGTCAATACAATATACCCAGAGTCTAGTATTGACCCCAAATTTCATTCTTACTCTTGTTATCAACATTCGGAGTCTCTGATGACATCTTTACAGAGAGACAATATATTCATAAGACAACATGAACAATTAACAAAATAGAATTGACTACTTAAACTGTTTATTATATGGTTATAGCCATGAAATATCAATTTACCTATCTAATTCAACTTGTTTATCTTCCATTAGTATATTTTTAGCTTTATAAAATAATAACTTGGTAAAGGAAATTTGCAAAAGCATCATATATCCAGTTACTAACATGAGTTATCAAAAGTATAAAACATTTTTTAACTTTCCATGAATAACATTTTATATTTCAACACTAGAAACAAGAAGTGTAAAGTATCTAAAATATAAAGACCTGCACCACTTAATCTTTTTTTTTGCGAAACCGGGGATTGAACTCAGGCCCTTATGCTTGCCAGGGAAGCGCTTATTCTACTGAGCCATCTCCCCGGTTCCTCCCACTTTATCTTTTAACGAGACAAATTTTGACTATATTAACATAAGCAAACATTAGAGCCTTCTGAATTCAATTTATTTTCCTTTATTTTATATATAAAAAACACTTCTCTCGGAATGGAATGTTTCTACTTTAAAGATAGGTGTGCTTACTAGTTATCAGAAAAGCAGTGTAGATTATGTGCACTATGAACAGAATGAAGCAAGCTAGGGGAACCATCTGGCCTATGTAATACATACTAGATTTCAGCTGACAAGATTTTCAAATAATTTTATCCCAAAGTTTAATAACTTAAAGTATATGTGTTAATTTCTTTCAAAAAACTATCAAAATTAGTTGTGTATTAAAATTCTAAAATTTACAAGAAAAATTTTTTTTACAGAAGTCAGTAAGAACTTAAGTTACCTTCTAGCCAAGTGTAGAATGATTCTCCTATGAGAGACAGACAGAGACACGGAGGAGAGAAAACAAAGTTAAAATATTTCAAATGTTCGTTGATACACTAGAAGGAAATGGTAAAATATTTATTATGTCAAATTAAGAACTCTTCCTAGACATGTCTACTGCTTAAGGTAAAATGGAAAAACAGGCATATGATTTTAGAAAATAAAGTCCTCATGTAATTTAATACTAGAGAAGGTTCTTAAAATATTTTATTTTTAAAGTGTTTGAGACAACAGTTCTGTCTAAATATTAGACACGGCACCCCTGAACACACATAAGTAAACAGCCAACTGAAATCATTACTTTGGTGGTTTGGGACACCTTATGACAGACATTCAGTCACATAAAGCAACCAACTATTAAGAAAGTGCTCTTCATCAGATTAAATATTACACTGAAAATTGAGATTATAAATTTCAAAGTCCACCAGAAAATAAGTTATAAATTCTCTGGTAGAACTACCTTAACTTTGCTCCATTTCTTCAGAATATAAATAAATATATTTTAATAACCAGAAAGTGGGGAACTTGGAATGTGAACAGTTTATTTATTTATTTATTTATTGTGTGTGTGTGCGCACGCGCGTGTGTGGCCAGCTCAGCCCACCAGGGGGCGGGGCTGGCTGGCATGTGGTGCTGGGGGATTGAACCTCGGTCCCTGTGCTTTGCTAAGCTTGTTCTAAGTAGGTGCTTTAGACCACTGAGCCATCTCACCAGCCCCTGTGAACAGTTTTTATACCAAACATTTATTAGTTAAATGGTCTACTTTTTTAAACGTAGGATAACTTTACATAATAAAATAACTTTATGTTTATCACCATTCATTAGTAGGTATTTTCTGGAAAAACACAGTATTTTCTTTCAAATTAAGATGAACAATCCATTTTGAGAGTTGAAAACATTTCTTCTATACTGGAGGCAAACGGAATAATTTTAACTCACCATCATCTTCACCTAAAAGAGAAAATAAGACATTAGAAAATGTTTGTATTAGAACTTACTGTTAAACTCTTCCTACTATGGGTCAAGTTGTGCAGACATCTGCAAATAAGGCTTTTTAATAAGCAGCAGACCAAAGAAAATATGATTTTCATATATTTTTATATAATATATTGTAAAGGTAAGCAAGTAAATAAAATACTTCTTTATAAACACTAGTTTCAGTAATTAATAGATACTGTGGCTCCTTCAATCATATGCACACACCTCTCTGAACAGTTTCTACTCTCACGGACTCTACTGATGACACTTGAGCAGGGCACAGTCCTCTATGGGAGGACCCTGGAGGCTTGGAGGTTGGGTTGTGGTTTCCAGTGGCTTGGCTGCAGTTAGCTTTTTCTGAGGAATTCTATTGGAACATTGTACTTTTGGAAAAAAAAGGTTCTATTGCTCAAAAACTTTTGGAAAAACAATTGTAGAAGGCTCACTGCTCTGATTTGAGAACGGTGGGTAAAACAGCTGAGGAGGTCAGTGGGCAGGCTCATAGCACTCAGAGGGAGAGCATTTGCCAAAGTGAGGATCTAAAGCACCCTTCCAAGTCTGCTTGGTCCTCAGAAAGGTCAAAAGAGACACATTGACATCACGAAGTTCAGTTTCTTAATTCTAGTTTAAAGAAAACACTGATTTGTTTCCATTTTTCCTTCTCTCTTTTTTTTTTTTTACACTTTTCTCTTTTCCCAATATGAACATTCTCTTCCTACTTCATCACATCTATACATTTTGGTCCTGATCTATACTTTCACCAGAGAAACAATGTGGTATTTATGCATACCTAAAATGTACCAATAAAATATAACTGAAAAAGAAAAACGGAAAAAAAAAGAAAAAAAAAAAAAAAAAAAAAAAAAACCACCAAAAGAAAAAAGAAAGAAAACACTGGATTGCCCAGTCAGTTACAGGGTGGCTCCTAAGGTTTAGTTCCTTGCTGAAAAAAGAATGAGAATGTCCGCCTGTCATGATACCTTGTGCTTATTTCAGCTTTTACATTTAGATGAATGAAAATTAAATTAAAAATTCAGGTTCACACTGCTGCATTTCATATGTATGATGATCCATGTAGCCACAGGCTGCTCCAGTGAACAGTGCAGCACAGAATACTTCCTGGGGAATTCATTCCTTGTGTTTGTGTCTGCATCCTAGTGTGGCACTCTGGAACTATTAGGATCGTGGGCCCTATCCAAGCCCTGTGGACTCAGGGCTGGCGATCTGCATGCACACTGAGGCTTGAGAAGCACTGTTCTGAGCCAATTGGTTTTCAAACTTGGCTGCACGCTGACTGGAGCCATCTGAAAAACTGAAAAATCACAGATGCCTGGCTCTTCCTCCCAGGGCTTTGGAGCTCACTAGCAAGGGACAGAGCCATCCAGAGTCGGAGGAATTTCCTAGGAAGTCTTACATCTCCTAATATATTCTGCATAAAGTTCCCAGCTTAGGGTCTGGCACATACCAGACAATAAATGACAGTAATTATAGAACACATACATAGAAATCTTAAAACTTAACTATGGGGGCTGGGGAGATAGCTCAGTGGTCTAAGTCTCTGCCTGGCAAGCACAAGGATCTGGGTTTGATCCCTGGTACCACTTGCAGCACCAGCCCCGAGCCGAGCCAGCCACCAAAGCTGGGTGTGGTGGCACACGCTTGTAATCCCAGCACTTGGGGGTCTGAGACTGGAGGATCACTATGAGTACGAGCTATGTAGTGAGACCTTGCACCAAATACATAAATTTTAAAAAAAGAAAAAAAGCACTGGAATAACATAATGTGGGAAAGAGGAGGAGGGAAGTGGGTCCCTGGGGCCCAGCTTAAAAAAAAAAAAAAAAAAAGAGAGAGAGAGAACTATGAATAAAACTTTCAGTTTTGCTAATCAGTCAAATTAAGCAAAATATAAAACAGCTGAATACTTCCTTATAGAACTTGGTTGCAAAGATATTTTATAAACAATCTCTAAAAGCATGAAAATAGATGAAAAACCCACCTCGACCGGGTGCCAGAGGATTTAAAGGGCGATAAACAGAACGAGGCCTAAAAGAAGAGCATAAAACCCAAACATAACGTTGGATGTATAATTTTTTCCCAGTACAAAGAAGTATCTCTTCCCCCCCCTTCCAGATCGCCCTGTTACTTGAAACAGTTTTCTTCATAGATGCTGTTCCACACTCTCCAGGCAGAGGGCCCCTTGTAGCCAGTGTACCGCTCTGGGTTCAGCAAAAGGTCCACATACTGGGCTGCAGGAGATCTCTCATCTGAACAAAAAAAGCCTCATAAGAGCCAATCATAAGCCACTGGTTACCTGGAATTTTGCATTACAAAACAAACAGGACTACCCAAAAGCTAAAGAAGTGCTACAGTTTTCAAATAATCTCCAACCTCAAAGGTAGGATTGTTAACATACTGTGACTGCTCTTGACCCAGAATTTGTAAAAGTTGGGCAAGTTACTTATGAAAGAACAAACAACTCTTCCTTTTCCTTTGGATACTCAAGAGTTCTTTTAAGAAATGTAACATGTTACCTTATTAGTTTTAACCACCCAGGAATGAAAATAACAGAATCATAACCTGCTTTAATGTTTTATATGATTTCTTTTCCAAATACAGTATATATCTATATATATCTATGTAATCAAAGGCCTGAAAATATTCAATTTGTTCAATTTTTTTATATTAAAAATTGAGACTTCCCTGCTGTTCTATTTGTAGACATATAAAGTAAAAGATCCAGATCCCGAAAGCTAATTATTCATAAAGCTACAGTGATCCACCTTTAAAAAATACTATTTTTAACAATATTAACATATTAAAGTGCTTTTTCCTTCCCAAACTAGTACATGGAAAGCACAACTTTCAAAAATGTTTTTTTTTTTTTTTTTTTGAACTGGGGATTGAACTCAGGCCATTGCACTTGCCAGGCAAGTGCTTATTCCACTGAGCCATCTCCCCGGCCCCTCAAAAATGTTTTGAAATATCTAAAATTAACCATTTTCCATGACAAAAGTCAAATGAGTACTAAATTTCCCCTGCTTGGACATTTTAATAGAGATCTCTGAGAAACACAAAATATGGAAGGCTCACAGTTTGGGTCAAAAAGAGAAATATATTTTCATAGCTAAGTAAAGGTATAATGAATATGCTTCACAAATGTGTAATCATAATACATATAAGCTCTGGCACAGATGCATTCGTTAACATATTTACTACCTTTCAGTGTTATCAGAACAAATCAGCAGACTTAGAAACCTGACTTTCTCTGTAAGTGGACATATTTATCGGAAATTCAATGACCAGTTTGGGACCGTCCATCATAAGAGAAACTGGAGCTGCCAAATAGCTCAGTCGGACTAAAGTGCCTGCTTAGACAGGTCAGGGACCAGGGTTCCATCCCCCACGTGCATGCTGGCTCTACCCCCAGGGCATGCTGAGCCAGCAACTGAGACTGGGTGTGGTGGTGCACGCCTGTAATTCCAATGCTTGGGAAGCTGAAAACAGGAGGATCACTACAAGTCCAATCTGTGTAGTGAATCCTTGTACTAAATACATTTTAAAAAGTAGAACCTGGCATTCTGATCTAAATTGCCTGCTTTCCTGATGGAGGAAGAGTACAAAAGTAATTACAAGTTATCACCACTAGAGCTAGCGATGTAGCTCAGTAGTGGAACGCTTGCCTAGCATGAGGAAAACCCTCAGTCCAATCCCCAGTACCTCAAAACAAACTATTGCTATTAAATGGGTTGTATATGATTACAAACAAAGAAAACAAAATTTACATAATATAAGATACTGGCTTTATTTCTACCCTAGAATTATAAAACTATTTTACTATACAAATTAAGGCACAGCAAACTGCACAGCTAAAGAACACAGGTTGACTCAGGACTTAGCAATAGCTTTTAAAATCTTAAAAGTTTCTTAAAAGTATTAAAAATAAGTTTGGCTAGACGTGGAGGTGTATGCCTATAATGCCAGCCCTTGAAGGCTGAAGCTGGATTGCCAGGTGTGCAATGCCAGCCTGGGCTACACAGTGAACTCAAAGCCAGGCCAAACACACATTGAGGCACTGCCTCAAAAAAGAAAGTTTAAATTGTGAAGTTATTAACAGTATGTTTTCAGTAGTTTTAAAATTCATTAATTTCTAATATATTTTTAATTTCTTTGAGATGCTAGGTTCACTTGCAAAGTTGACTCAGTTAAATATAAACTTCACAAATATTACTCAATGTGTATGTCCCCTGATGTATACCATTTACAACTATCAATACTCTGTATGCACACGTAAGACTACACATATTCAGGGTCATCTATGATTGTGTAGATTGCACTAGTACCAATTTTCTCTCCACAAGCACAACTGAGTAAGGAAAAAAAATTGATTCAGACACTAAAATATGTCTCTCTATATGTATATAAAAAAATTTTTTTTTCTGAGACAGGATCTTGCTATGCTGACCCTGAAAACACTATGTAATCCAGGCTGACCATAACTTACAGCAGTCCTGCCTTAGGCTCCCAAGTGCTGGGAGTACAGATGTGTGCTACCACAACCAGCAACATAAAATATATTTAAGGGAGCTAAAATAAATTCTAAGAGTAAAATCGTATCAGTTTTGGTTAACTATTTTCTTAAAATTCTCAATTCAATCAATGATTTTAACTTTTAAAAACTTTTTAAATCATGAAAAGGGTGGGTTTGTGGTTGGTACACTACACTCATGGGCAAAATCTGGCCTCCTATGTTTTTGTGAAGAAAGTTTTTTGGGCCAGTCATGTGTTTTGGCTTATGTGGCAGAGTTGAGGAGTTGCCAGAAAGGTACATACACCCTGAAACATTTGCCATTTGTCTGCTTATTGAAAAGCTTGTCAGTCTCTGACTTACAATGACAAGGCTTTCATCATGCTAGCATGCACAGTGTTGGGGAGAAAACAGAGTGATTAGTTCTGCTTGTAGGTACACAGGGCTGGGGCCCAGCTTTGCCCTGGGTGACCAGTGACACTGGTTTTAATTAACTTGTTCCTCAATTACAACTTCTCTATAATGGTATTGCTGGATCATCTGTGTGGATCTTTCTTTCTGTACCCCAACTGTGTCCACAGCCTAGAACGTATTCTTTCTTCTGCTCTGAAGCTGCTACAAAGCTCTGCTTTCCACATGGCCATGTTGATCATCACCCAAGAATTCAAGGCCTTTCCACTGAATCATAACTCTTAATTCTGGAAATTTATCAAATTGGACTAATGAAAAAAAAATTTAAAAATTGGACTAACGCTTTTTCCTTCTCCTCAAGTATATCATGTTTCCCCACTGAATTCTCCTCTCATTGTCCTAGCTTCATAGTAGTGTGATGAGGTTCCAAGCATTGTATTAATTTTTTTTTTGCTGGGACTTGGGATTGAACTCAGGCCTTGGTGCTTGCCAGGCAAGCGCTTATTCTACTGAGCCATCTCCCCAGCCTCCCAAGCGTTTTCTAGTGTGCAGACACTGCTCTGCATCCCATGTAAGACATAGAAGCACAGGTCAATTGAGGATGAAGTTTTTGTTTATAGTCATAGACTTCTATGTTTAAGCCTAGAGCCCTGTACCACCAACCCAATGCCACACTGCTACTAACTCACTGTTAGAACATGATCTACATTTTATAACATTCTCAAGTGACTGATTCACAGCCAGACTTAGCAAACATTTTTTTTAAGTTAGATTATTTTGGTACTGGGAATCAAACTCAGGACCTTGTGTTTGCCAGACGGACTACTGCAGTAATTTCACTTTTTTTTTTTTTTTCCTGTATTTAGGACAGGGACTACAGGGTATCACTACAGAGATCGGACTCACAGTGATTCTCCTGTTTTCAGCTTCCCAAGTGCTGGGATTACAGGAGCACACCACCATGACCAGTCTCAACTGCTAACTCAGTGTGCCCCAGGGGCGGGGCTGGCAGGGCATGCTGGGGATCAAACTCCAGCCTCTGCACTCTGCTTAAGCAGGTGCTTTAGTCCAGCTGAGCTATCAGGCTAGCCTGTAATTTCATTTAAAGATAAAAATTCTTATTAAAATTTTAAAATGTACTCTAGTTAAGGTATAACACGTGCAGAGTGCTATGTCTGTGAACTAAAATAAATGGATAAGAATGAAATCTAAGTGGTACTGTACATATAATTCAGTACTTAAGAAAATTACAAGTGATTCTGCCTTAGCTTACTTTTTACAACCACTGTAACATCTTTTATGGAGGACAGTCTTTACCCCAAATAACTATATTTTCTTAATATTTTTTCTATTAAAATACAGAAAGAAGTTTGTTGGGGCTAAGGATATCACTCAGCAGCATAAGCGCCTGCCTGGCAAGCACAAAATCCCAAGTTTGAACCCTGGTACCATAAAGGACAAAAATATAGAAAGAACATAAAAAGCCATTTAACAGTCACTTTCCTCAATTAGCAAAGGGAGTAAGGGAGAGAGTAATGTCCATGAATATACACTGCCATCTTGTAATTGCCTCTTAGCCTAGATATCCTTACTATCAAAGAAACTTTCTCCATCATAAACATTTTGCATTTTGTGGCCCTACTAGGGCCTATTCATAGACTTTATTTTCAAAGTGGAAATAATTTCAAGAAAAAGTGACTCATTTTCTCACATATATCCTAAAAATGCCACCTTCTCCAAATCTTCAACTTGCTTTACAAAGAAATTGATCTTACCACTGAACAACTACCTAGGCTACTAAGGAGCACAAACATCCAGCTTTGAGCACATTTTATTAAACATATTTGACTATTCCTTGTCTTTTAAGAAAAATGTGTTTACAGGGGCCGGGGAGATGGCTCAATGGAATAAGCATTTCCCTGGCAAGTAAAAGGCTTGAGTTCAATCCCTGTTCTACACACACACACACACACACACACACACACACACACACACACACACACAAATAATAATAGACTGAAGTCATTTTGTCTTGTATGAAGAATTGAATGAATATTACTACTTAAAAGCAAAGCATTCATTGCCAAAACTTTAAATAACTCAAGAGCATAAATTCTAAACACATTAAGATCACGTCACTTTCAATATTCTTCAGAATGGTGAATGCTATGGCCTATGATCCATTTCTATGCTTGTTTCTTGAGCTTCTGCTTTTAAGAGGTTTTCAACATTTTCCAATGTTTGAAGCTTATAGATGATGCTAAGAAAAACATGAAACTGTTTCCATCTCAATTATATTCCATGCTTTATTTTTAATTGAAAGATGCTCTAATTTCCCCCAGAGCCTCTAGTTTGTTCAAGCTTTCATGCCTGTTTGGATGATGCTGGATCACCTTTACTAAAGCATATTCTTGGCAAGTTTTTCGTATTTGTTTTGCTTGAAGAATTTGCTTTTTGTACTCAGCAATTCTTTTCATGTGCTCCTGCAATGCAACATTCTATTGCTTGGCAATTTTTCTTTGTTTTTTTTTTTATTTTTAGGGAAGGGTCTACAGGGTGTTCAGGGTCTCACTACTAGATCGGACTTGTAGTGATCCACCTGTTTACAGCCTCCCAAGAGCTGGGATCACAAGAGTGCACCACCACGCCCAGTCTCAGTAATTTTTTCATAGTTTTCTATTTCCCTGAGATTCATATTATATATCAGCAAAGTATTACTCACTGAAAACTCACACTGGGACAGTGTGCTTAGGTTACTTAGCACACTGGTGCTGGCTATGTCCCTCTTCTTGGGATCTAGAGCTGCACCACTTAATGAAACTTCACTAGCAAATTAATTGTGCAATTAATGGAGATAGTCTCCATCTCCAGCAATAAGGAGATGTTTCCTTGTGACTGTCATCAGTTACGGCTCTCATGGTATGCGTGGTAGCCTTAGCAACTACCATTTTCAACATTTTAAGTGTACTAACATTTTTTCATGGAAAGATAAAAATTAAAGCATATCATGCTATATAGATTATTTATGAACCAAGTGTTTCATTCAGTAAATCTTTATTAAACACTTATGATGTTTAGGCACTGTTCTAGGCACTAAAAATACAACAGTGAATCAAAGACAAAACCCTTGCCCTTGAGCAGCACACAATCTAGCAGGAAAAGACAAACAAGAAACCAATAAACTAAATAATATGTCACACTGCCAGATAGTTGTGAGTGGGGTAGATGGAAACCAGCAGCGCAGAGGCCCCACAAGTGACTGTGGTTATTATTCTGTACAGGACAGGACAAAAAGCAAGCTTCTCTGATAAGACATTTGAGCAGAAACACGAGCCAAATGAAGAAGCAAGCTATGTACAAAGATGGTAATGAAAACAATAGAATGGGTTCAAGAGCTCACCTTAGTGGATAATGAACTGCTAAATTATTTAAAAGACTGCTATTTCATCCATGGGGATCATCTTCTACTCAAACAGAGATAATAACAGCAAAACAGCAAGGAACAGGGGCATATGGATATTTTCCCTAATAAACTAGAGTGAATAGTCTTTACATTTTAACATTCTGAATTTAGGTAGCAGGAATAACTAAACAATAACCCTAAAGCTACCTTGACAGTAAAAGAAATTATAAGTATAAATCATGAAAACTATTATTCAGATGAATAATGGTAACTCCATTAAGTAGCTTAGTTTTGTATGCATATTTAGATGAAATTGCAAAATCCTCATTACTTTAAATATATAATCCTAAAAGTCATTGTGTGTGTGTGTGTGTGTGTGACCAGGGATCAAACTCAGGACCTTGTGCTTGCCAGGCAAGCAGTTATTCCACTGAGCTATCTCCCCAGCCCTCTGAAAATCTTAAAGGATGATTTTATACAAGTTCTTATAGAATGTCTCCCACTTTTATAACTTCAGAAACTAATGCTATTAAAAATAGAACTGATAATTAAATAATATCCCACACTGCCATGTAGTTGTCAGTGATGGGCGAGGTAGATGCAAACCAGCAGTGGTGGTGTATGCTTTAATCCCAGTACACTGGGAGACAGGAGGATCACAAGTGTGAACCTGGCCTGAGCAATGCAGCAACTTAATGAGGCTGTTTCAAAATGAATAGAAAGAGTAGGGGCTGGGGATGTAGCTCAGTACAAAAGCCCTGGGTTTAATCCCCAGTACCACAAAAAAGACAAATATTAACACTGTATTGAAGGTAGGTAAATTTAGCACATCAAATTGCTTATAGCAAGTAATCCTTGCAATTGAATAGTACTATTATGAAAAAACTACCATGAGTAATTCATAATTATAGAAATGACTTATTAATCGAAAAACCTGTTAAATAAGTGTGATCATATTTTTTTAAGCATTGAAGAGGTAAAAGGGGGAACTCAAAAGAAGTAGACTTTACTTACTTTATTTATTTATTTTTGGTGGTGGTACCAGGGATCAAACTCAGGACCTTGCACTTGCCAGGCAAGCATAATAAGTAGACTTTAGTGTTAAACATGGAAATATAATTAGAATGATCACCAAAGAGCAAATAACAGAGTAAGCAGGAATGCAACTACATGTAGGTAGTGTCTTACTCTGATAAAACTTATGCCAGTTCTAAATATCATGATGGGGATATTGCATTAGCTGGCCATTAATATAGTCAGATACGCAAAGAACCCTTGCTCACATTTCTTAAAAATTTTCCTAGGTAGAATGATATACATGGTGATAACATCATTCTTTCTTCCAGTATTCTATTTACTATCATTTAGAAGCCTACAGTAACTTATACTATGGATTGATGGCACAGTTCTAGCTCTGGATCTTGTTTCAACTCTTACAGAGCACAATGATCATTTTATTTTATAATTTTTTTTTTACAATGATCATTTTAGATTCAGAAAAAACTTCTCTTGTCCATTTTCAGCTGTGCATGCTTGAACCCCAAATTCTTTCCCACCACCAAAAATTTAGCAGCAACAAGGTAAAGGTGAAGAGGCCAAATGCATGATTCTAGCCTATACAGCACAGTTCTTTGGAAATACTATTCTCCATTCATGTTCTCCAGAAATACAGATAAAAAATTTCTAGATCACTGGAACAATTATCTCATATTTAGAGAAGTGGCAGTTACTCTGTTGGATGGTTTCCCACCTTTGGATCCTTCCTGGGGACTATCAGAAAGAGGGCTGTGAGGAAGTCAAACCAGAGCCCTCCCTAACATTAGAGGGCATCATGATATGAATTTGTTGAGACCTCCAGCAAATTCCAGTGTAAACATTTTATGTATTTGTTATGGTTTGTGTCTAGATGTAATCCCAAAGCCTCTTGCAGTCATGGGGCGGGGGGCTTTTTCAGAGATGATGAATCTACAGTGGATGACACTGGGATTGATTCATGGTGCGATGTTAAAATCAAGGGCACTAGGATTAAGAGTATTAATGCTACCCAGCCTAAGTAGCCTGGATAAGATATAAGGGATAGAAAGGCTGTGGTCATCACTTGCTTTTTTTAGTTTGTTTTTTATTTTTGCTGTCTTCTACTCACCATGAACTGTTCTCTTCTATGTCACCAACCTGCCATAATTGGAGTCAGCCAATTATGAACTGAAACTTCCACAAATGTGAGCTAAATAAGCCTTTCCTCCCTTAACTTTGGGCATTTAGTATTTTGTCTTAGCAATGAGAAAAGTAAATAAGACAATATTCAAGGACCTATAACCAAGTGGCTTTAATTGAAAGTCCATAGGAGGTGGTGTGATATACTGGAAAGAACACAGGTTTTAGACTTCTTTGGATTTGGGATAAAATCCCATCTTAGTTCCTTGGTACTTTTATGGCAATTTAGGCTTTTGGAGAATTAGGTCCTTAGGTATGGAAAAAAACACTGTTATGGTTTGTCTAGTTGTCCTCCCAAAGCCTCATGCAGTCATGGGGTGGGAACTTCTAGAGGTTGAGATTAATTCATGATCAAGGCTAGGATTATGGGTCTTAGTACTGCTGGGATTATAAGTGTGAGTATTACACCCAGCCTGGGACATACAGCCTGAATGCAACTTAAGAGAGACAGACTTTCCCTCTGTAGCCATTGTTGCTACTACTCCTCCATTTTGCTCTCTGCTCTTGGCCACCACCATGAAAGGTTGCTCTCTGCCATGTGCTGCCCTGCCTTGGAGCCTGCCGAGTATGGGCTGAAACTTCTAGTAACGGTGAGCTAAATAAGCCTTTCCTTCCTTCATTTTGGATGTTGGGTATTTGTGCTAGCAACGAGAGAAAAGTAACTGAGACAAACACATACCCATTAAGGGGTATTAATAAAATCTTCATAGCAAAATCCAATGTTAAAGTTGTAACATAATGTCATGGTTTTTGTCTAGTTGTCCCCCAAGGCCTCATATAAGTCATGGGGTGGACTTACTTCTAGAGTTTGTGATTAACTCATGATCCATGGGATTATGGATCTGAGTACTGCAAGGATTATGGGTGTGAGTACTACACCCAGCCTGGGGTGGAGAGCCTGAATGTGATATAAGGGAGACAGAGAGACAGTCTTGCTCTCTGTAGCCATTGTTGCTACTATTGTTCCCATTTGCTCTTGCTGTTTGCTGTTTTCCGCTGCCATGAACTGCTGCTCTCTGCCATGTGCTACTCTGCCCTGGAGACAGCGGAGTATGAACTGAAACCGCCACTAACTATGAACTAAATAAACCTTTCCTTCCTTCATTTGGGTGTTGGGTATTTGTCCCAGCAATGAGAGAGGTGCAACTGAGACAAATAGGTTACATTTTCATTGATTTGAAAGTCTTATAAAAGGGTTAAAATTAAAACAATTTATCATAACAGTGTATTTTATTACCATCAAGTTCACAAAAGTGATCCTGTGAATCATCGTATCTTGCCCAGTCAATGAAAGCTTCTTTGCTTTGATTACTATGGGAAGGAGGGGAAAAAAAGATTAAATTTGGTGTCGAGAATCTTTACATTATATTCTAATATAGTTAAAATAGATATTCTGAGGTCATTTATTAGATGATGTCACGATTCCATTACTAGTGGTTACATGAAAGAATGACTAAGAAAGTCTCATAAAAAGATATTAACTTGCATGAATGATTTATATTAACTTCAGTAAAAGTTATTAGTCCTAGTAGAATGGTAGCTATTTTAACTAAAAATTGATTTACAAAAATACATATACTACTTTAAAAAAAAAAAGCAAGCTGACCCTTTCAACAGAATTAGAAAGCAATTATTATACTTTTCCTGAAATAGGGATGAAATTTACTTTCTGAATATTTTAAATTTAAACTGCTGTGATATTTATAGGATCCAAAATCCCAAGAACTGTGTATCTCTGATCTCATGATCCAGTGTGGTGTTAAATTGTTAAACCAAAGTCACCTTCACCATGGCAGGTCATTCATTTTACATCATACCTCAAATTCAACAGAACCTTTGGTAAAGATTTCTAACCTGATAAGAACAACTACATTTGTCAAATAAACTTAGACCAACATTCACTGTTAGCCACATTCCGGCCTTCTGTCTTAAATACATGAGGACAATATCTACAGAAGCACCATGTTGCTAGCTTTCATTGTTCACTACACAAAGCTCCAGCACGGGGTCTGGAAGTGAGCATCACTCCCAAGCCACTCTGGAGTGTTACCCCATGCCCACAGGTAGATGCCTGCAGAGGAGATGGGCGCTTCAATTACTGGAATGCAACTGGAGCGAGCCAAACATCAGGTAGTTGGATTAAGTGAGGCCACCTGTCAGGGCCTTGGTGCTTCTCTCTGTGCATGGTCAGCAAGACTGAGATTTACAAAATTCTGAAGCATCAACAGCCTAGAACAGCAGCAACTCAGAGTCCAGCCTAGCTACTACCCTTACTATACAGCTACCCTTACTATAGGTAGGGACTATAGCCTCCCCAGCCTTGGAAGCTGCTGGAGTCATGAGCTAGAATGACTGAACAGCTGTACAGCTAATGAACCAAAAGACTCAGGGTCAGACAGAGCAGCCAGGGTGGTAAGAACAGCAGAGGCCACAGGAGGCCAGCGTGAGGGGCTGAGAGCATCATTAATGTCACACCATAGGTCTGAGGTTACCACATATTTGGATCATTACTAGGGACAGCAGCACTGACAAATGCTAGTCCCTCTCATCAACAGCACTGAACCTATATGCCCAACTACCTCTCCTCTGCTTGGACATATTAAAAATGCATCACTGACACCTGCTAGTCATGTTTCCTATAATTTAGAAGCCCACCATCTCAACCATTCCTCAGGCAAGGCCAGAGGGAGGTTCAGTGGACTTCTCCAACTCTACCTGCACCCTAGTTCCTAAGTACAACAAACAAAAACATAACCAATATTAGGTGTAAACTGAGCCCTGCCACTCATTTTTGCCTCAGAACTTACCTGTGACAATGGAGCTGTCACTCAGCCTAGAATGCCCCATACTGCCTTACCAGAACAGAAGTTGAGAAGCATAACAGAACTAAAAAAACATCTTCACAATCCTCTTTACATCAGGTGGCATTTAATAATTGTCCCCATTATAAATACCTCCAAAGGATGTGTATCTAGTCCTGTGTGTGTTTTTGTTGTTTGTTTTGCTTATTTGTTGCTCTGGTGTTTGGTTTGGTTGTATGTGTAGGTATAGGTGCGTAACAGTTTTTTCCTATTGCTTCTATCATGCTGTTCTGTTTACAGCAGAAAAAAAAAAAAAAAAAAAAAAACCTATGGAACTTAAATTAACAGCAAATTTACCATTCAAAAGATAACATACAGATTGATTTATTATATATGAAAATTTAGGAGTTCAAGTTCCTTCTCCCATAATGATTAAAAGAATAGATCCAGAAATCCTGCTGAAATTTTCTAAATTTCTGTTTTTGAACCGATTCCCTACTGAGGATACATTTTAGAAATCTAAGGGCAAATCCTCCAAGATGCAAAATTGCTATGGGTTTATAATAGAGTAACTTCCTTTCTTTAAAAAACGTATTAGTTGAAAATTTAATGGTTAGTAAAAATATTTTATTAAAATCACAAAAAGGATTAATATAAATAAATAGTATCTTCTTAATACTACTAAAATAAAACTTGCCTTAATGTGCTGTTAACTGCTCCCAGCTTATTAGCCTGCTCACAATCATCCAATTCTTTGGTATTATTCGTCACTTTCGAATACTGCAAGGAAGTTCATAAGTTTAGAAATAATTATCTTTCTCAGCTTCTATTGCCAGAATGATCTGTCAGGGATGATACACACTAAACATAGATACATCCTAGTACCTAAAACCCTATTAGGTGTCCACATCTGAAGCCAACAATTAGAAAAAGTACAACCACCTTGCAATCTTATTTCTAAATACAGAGGTAGAGAAATGATAACATACTTCAACAATGAAACGAAGGACAAAAATGCTAGTGTATCACTGTATTGGCAAAAACTGGAAACAACTGAAGTATCCATGGACAGAGGCATGACTACTCTGTGTTAAAGTTACACAACTATCTACTAGTTATTGAGATGAACAAGATTCACATATCAACAGAGAAAAAATTCAAAATCATTCAGAGTAAAACTACAAACAAAAAATACTAATGAAATACAATGACTTAACTGTTCAATTTTTTAATAAAAAATAATCTACATATACAAGTGCAATGCAATCAAATCAAATTAACATACAAAGATATGTGCAATGAGGGCATAAAACCATAGAAGGGTATATCAGAAAAATGGCCGGTTCCAGGGAGGAAGGAAACAGAATGGGATTGAGAAAATCTTCAGGGAAATGCATCTGCCTTCTACTGGAACAAAAACCCAAAACCAAACCAACAAAAGTGAAAGTAAGCTAAACAAAACACAGGTGAAAGAGCTAGAAAATGGAGAAGATGCATAAAAGGCAAAAAAGGGTGACTTTTCTATGGTGACCTTTACTATGTATATGTAGCAGTGAAAAGTGAAGTAAACTAATACCTAAAAATTCATGCATCACAAAAACAAAACAAAACAAAGTCATGCTCCTAGGAAGAAAAAGGTAATCGTTAATAAACGAATAGCTTAACATTATTAGAAAGTATTTTGCTCAAAAAATCTTGGTTTTTTTTCCTATGAATAGAATCCTGAATCTAACAGGTTGAAATAGAAATTGAAAACAAAACTAAATATGAAAAAATATATGATATCGGGCTAGGGAGATAGCTCAGTAGAATGAGTGCTTGCCTGGCAAACACAAGGTCCTGAGTTCAATCCCTGGCACTGCAAAAAAATAAAATAAAATAAAAAATAAATAAAATATATGATATAAAACTGTATCATAAAATAGTGATGTCAAACCTTTTAGAGACCAAGTGCAATTCAAAACCCACTTATTTATCAGAAACAGCCAACACTCCAATTAAACATGAATACTGAGATTTTAGTTCTAAGAAAACAACTTGTACATTTTGACTTAAAAGAAAAACACAATAACGTATGCCACAGGTTTTCTACCACTGTAATAAACACCTGTTGAATAGGTAATACACAACTGCAGTTGCATAGTACAGTTCTTCTAGAAGTTCTACAACAGTGAAGTAATTCCTAAAAAAGCAAGAATTCACCACCTCTCTGCTTGCTCAAGAATTAGGGATTTTGAAATTCTGAGGCAAAATGGCTCTATTCTCAAAAGCTGTATTACAGTCTCTGTAACCACTGTCAAGAATCATAAATGGTAAGTTTTAGTGTGTAAAGCAGAAATACTCAAAGAAGGCAAGTGACTTACCTTATTAGAATGTCCAGCTTTTATTCCAACTGGAATTTTACTCTTAAAAGAACAATAATAAAAATTTTTAAAGTGATACAAAGAATATAATATTCTGCAGGGTGCAAATATACATTCAAATTTTGTTTTCATACAACCTCTTGAGTTGGAAGGTTATTCCAATGTACAAACTTGTAAACTGAAGTACAGAAAACTAAATGACATAGAATCAAAATTACCTCTAATAACTCTCAGTGCAGTATTTACATAAATTTTAGGATGAAAGGAGTAACTATCACTCTTCCATAAAATTTCTTACCACAGAAGGGTTTTGTTTTTTTTTTCTTACGTATTGGTGCAGGGTCTCACTACGCAGCTCACACTCCTAGTGATCCTCCTGTTTTTAGCCTCCCCAGTGCTAGAATTAAAGGCATGTACCACCATACTTTTAGTTTTAAAAGTTAAAAATTAGTTAAAATATATTATTATGCTGGATTTTAATTTTTGTTCTAAAGTGGCACTTAAACTTTAGGTAATTCTGGATACTAGAGTGAGATTTCTAGCCTACAGACCAGAAATTTAGGGTTTAACTAGGGTTGACCAATAGAAGAACTATATTAGGTCCAATATTCTTTTCCATAAAACCAATAATTGGGGTTAGGCTTTGAAAAAAAAATCAATCTATGAATTATTTTAACTGATTTACCAAAAATAACTTGAAATAAAAATCATACTTGAAAGAAGATGATCCCAGGTTTTTTGTTTTTTGGTTTTTTTTGACTAACCTGGGGACTTTCCCAACCTTTGAATCAACTGACTACTACCCGCAGCAAATTACCTATTAAAAATTACTCATATTTCATAGATTTTATT